AATACTGCCATAGTAGCAGGGGACTTCAACACTCCACTGAATGAAAGGATAGATCCTTCAAACAGAAAATAAGCAAAGAAATAATGGGCTTAAACGGAGCTCTTGAACAAAAAGTTCTGACAGATCTCTACAGAACATTCCACCCAAATAAAGTTGAATTTACCTTCTTCTCAGCAGCCCATGGAACCTTCTCCAAAATTGATCACATACTAGGCTACAAATCAGATCTTAACAAATTCAAAAAAATAGAAATTATACCATGTGACTTCTCTGACCATAGTGGTATAAAATTAGAGTTCAATTCCTATAGAAACACTCACCGTTTCACAAAGTCATAGAATCTGAACAATCTATTATTGAAGAATTATTGGGTCAAGGAGGAAATTCAGAGGGAAATTAAGAGTTTCTTCGAACTAAATGATAACGGAGACACATGTTACCAAAACCTGTGGGATATAGCAAGAGCATACCTGAAAGGAAAATTAATAGCAATAAACGCTCACATCCAAAAAACAGAAAGCTTAGATACTGACAACCTAATGAATAGACTCAAGGAATTGGAAAAAGAAGAGCAAACCAATCCCAAGCCTACTAGAAGAAAAGAAATAACTAAGATCAAAGACAGAACTAAATGAAATTGAGAACAAGAGAATTATACAGAAGATCAAAAAAACAGAAGCTGATTTTTCAAAAAGATAAACAAAATTGATAGCCCTCTTGCTAGATTGACAAGAACTCAAAGGGAAAGGACTCTAATAAACTCAATAAGAAATGAGAAAGGAGAGGTCACAACAGACACCACAGAAATTCAAAACGTTATTTTTGATTACTATAAAAAAAACTATATGCCCAAAAACTACATAATGAGGAGGAAGTGGACAAATTTCTGGAAACATACAACCTCCCTAAGTTCACCCAGGAGGTAACAGAATTTCTGAATAGACCAATCTCAAGCTCAGAAATTGGAGTAGTAATTAATATCCTCCTCAAACGGAAAAGTCCCGGACCAGATGGCTACACTTCAGAGTTTTACCAAACACACAAAGATGAACTCATACCTATACTACAGAAATTATTCCACAACATTGAGAAGGATGGTATCCTTCCTAACTCATACTACAAAGCCAATATTACCTTGATACCGAAGCCAGGAAAGGATGCAACAAATAAAGAAAATTACAGATCAATATCCCTCATGAATATAGATGTAAAAATCCTCAACAAAATTTTAGCAAATAGAATTCAGCAGCACATCAAAACAATAATTCACTATGACCAGGTGGGCTTTATTCCAGGGATGCAAGGCTAGTTCAACATATGCAAGTCTATAAATGCAATTCGCCTCATAAATAAAAACAAGAACAAAGACTATATGATTCTCTCAATAGATGCAGAAAAAGCATTTGACAAAGTCCAACACACCTTTATGATAAAAACTCTTAACAAAATAGACATAGGCGACTCGTACCTTAAAATTATCAAATCCATTTATGACAAACTCACAGCCAATATCATACTGAATGGGGAAAAACTGAAACCATTCCCACTTCAAACTGGAACTAGACAAGGATGCCCACTATCTACTCTTCTATTCAATATAGTGCTTGAAGTCCTAGCTATAGAAATCAGGCAAGAGAGGGGTATTAAGGGCATCCAAGTGGGGGCAGATGAGATCAAACTCTCGCTCTTTGCTGATGATGTGGTAGCTAGAAACCCCAGGGATTCATCCAAGAGACTCCTAGATTTGATAAATGAATTCAGTAAAGTCTCAGGTTACAAAATCAATATGCACAAATCAGAGGCATTCATATACACCAATGACAGTCAAGCCAAAACTCAAATAAAAATGCAATACCTTTTACTATAGCCTCACAGGAAAACTTTTTTTAATGGTCTTACTTTCCCTGGTGTCAATAGGAAACAGTATTTACTCACTACTGTTTTCCTTTCAAAAATCTGTCTAGTTGTATACTAGAAACAGTTTCAGCTGGATTGTTTGTCTTGGACAAACTGTTAAAGTGAAAAGTTTTTGCTTGGCTGAATGTGGGACAGTTTCATAACCTTCAAGAAGTGCACTGAAGGTGAGTGCCAGCTCCAGCGATGGTTGCTTCTAACGTGCCTCCACTTGCCACCCATTGTCAAGGGTGGCCAGTGTAATTAAGTTAGGACAATGAGCAAAGCAACAGATGCAACTGAGACCAAGTCCCTGAGTGCTTTTGTTTTGTCACTGTCATTGTCTGCAACAAAGAAGTCACATGTGAGAGCCTGGGAAGAGAGCCAAATTCAAACCAGACGACATCCCAGCTGGTTTGAATGGCCTGCACTGTACGCATGTATGCATGGGAACCGTGCTACTTGGAACTGCATCTGCTTTACTCAAGTGAGTTTTAGCCATGGCTTTGCTGTGATGCTGAGACAGACCCAGAAGAAATAGACCAAAGGATCCCTCTGTTCAGACTTTGCCCTTTATAGCTTCTGCTTTGAGGGAAAAGCAAAAGAATCTCTTGGTTAGGGACAAAAGATAAGATCTATATGGCTGGCCAATTTAACTTTAATTCTTTTTGCTACAGCCACCATTAATTTGAAGAGTGAAGCATAAAAGATACTTTACTATTTTCTTCTGGAAATTTGGAATTAACTTGAACTTCAGAGTAAGAATGGAAATTAAACACTTCATGAGGCTTTCTTTTACCAATTCATTCTTGAGCATTTTCTTAGTTAGGGCATTGCAGATTCTTATAAATCTTCTTTTGTTAAAGATGGTATGCCTCTTAAACAGAAATAAAGGTAAAATTCAAATCATTGTGTTTCTCTACCTGTCAGTTAACTTGATTACTAGTTTGGCAGTATCCTTTTTTTTTAATTTCAGCATATTATGGGGGTACAGATTTCAAGGTTTCAATAAATGCCCATTCCCCCTCCCCCCACAAGTCTGAGTTTCCAGCATGAGGCAGTATCCTTAATAATTGCTATTATGGGGGCTTTGATGAACCACATACTATTAACAGGGCTGACTGAGAATTGAACAGAATGTTTCAAAGAGTTTGAGAACATTAGAGATGCTACTCTATGGCCCCATACATCTTTCCTTCATTTTTCTAGGGAACTCCTGTAAGAAAGCAGCATAAGATGTAATACTGGAAACACAAGTTTACTGGTAGCTTAATGGTAGATGCTTTGCACCACAACAAATGCATGCTAATTGGACTTGTATGATATTTGAGGGAAACATGCCAGGATTTTAAACAGATGGCATTTCAAGATATTCTACACAAATGCTCAGTTTCTTCCCACAAGCTTTCTTTGTAGTGGCCACTGAGCTCACTATTTTAATAAATGTTTTTACACAATGATGCCATCTTTCTTCTATTCAGTCAGTACAGGATATTGACCATCAATTCACAAAGTGCTAGTGATCTTTCATGAAGGACTTGGTGATAATGTTCCAAGTAGAGCTAAAAAACATGTGTGAGAAAAACTGCCAAAATCCCTAGGGCCTTAGCCAGTGGGTATTATTTCCAAGGAGTGGTAGCTGATTTTCCCCAGGCTCAGTATTAAAACCTCTCACCCTCTCCAGATCTCAGGTCTGAGTGGCCTATAAGGTGCCTTAGCTCCTAACACATGTTGTGATTGGGTGGGCATTCATTACCTTAGCCAGAAAAAACAGTTTGCAGATTCTAGCCCCCATGGTGAGAAGTCTTATTTTTGGTTTTGATGGAAACATATTCTAGAGGAAAGGGATACTGTGGCTCCTTAAACTTCATTTTATACTAATAATTGTTTATTATATCCTCCTATAGAGGGCCGTCCAGCAAAGGTAAAACCAAGAAAAGAAGTACCTTAAATTTATGCATGTAAATGCCATTTCATTCTCTATTTTTTCAAATCTCCTCATCTACATTCTTTGCTATTCAAATATATTCAAGGATAAAATATAGTTACAGAAAAGTATAACGACTCGATTCTACACATCATGAGGGGGTCCCTCATATTCATTCATTTAATTCATTCTGCAGATATTTCCCACTCACCTTCAGTATCCTTGGCACTGTGCTAGATACTGGGGCTATGACAGTGACCAGACAAGTCTCTGCTCCCAAGTGGCATATATTCTAAACAAAACTCAATATTCCTTATATAATAGTGGATGAGTAGATGGTAGCACCAAAGCAAGGAACCCAGGATTTCTAGTCCTAGAATGGTTATTTCTAAATAAAGATGATAATAATAGGAAGATAAAAATGAGTAAATAATAATAATAATAGCAGCTAATGTTTTTGTAGTACTTACCATGTGCCAGACTTATTGTGAGTGCTTTTACATTAATTATTTACTCTTTAATCCCATGATGCAGATACTATTATTGTTCTATTTTATGGATGAAGAAACTGAGAAACAAGAGATTGTCACTTGCAGAAGTTCACATAGCTAGAAATTGGAAGAGCTAGGATTTGAGCTAAGCTTAGTATGTCTGTGATTTTACAGATTCGAAATTAATTATAAAATCTCTTAATCTTCTATTTCTAAAACTCCACCTTTCTCTAGAGGAAGAAAAAAAAAATCTCCTTTTTACAAAAATTAAAACAGAACAAACTGCAACAAAATAGAGGATGATCCCAAGATGTGATAAATGTGATTGATTTTTGTTGTTGTTGTTAGGAAAAGATCTATAGGACAGAAAGCTGGATTTTTCAGGATCCCCTTTCTGTCAATGAATCTGTGATTAAGGCAGATGGATAGAAATGCATCTGTGTGTGATTATAAAGCAATCTGTGGTATTCATATCACCAGCAGTACATAGAAAAAGACTGAGCGAGGATTGGCCAAAATAGTAAAGGCCTGTCCACCTATATAGGGTCTTTTCAGGAAAACCAGGGCTCAAACTGTCTATTAGCTTGACTGGTAACGCACACAGTAAGAAAGGTTAAGACTCAATGATAGAAAGAAATGGGTACATAAAGCCTCATCAAATTAATGCCACTTTTCTCTCTCATTTATAGGAAGTACATTTGAAGAACGCAAGTAGAGGGAGTGCAGGAAACAAGAACTACAGAATGTAGGAAGACCTCCTTGAGGAGTGAAGAGTGACATGCCACCGCAGGATCCTTTGTTCTGCATAAGTTACCTGTTGACCATTGGAACCACCTACCAAAAAAGAAGTTTGATAACATTTAAAAGATGGGCATTCCCCCCAATGAAATATACAAGTAAACATTCCAATATTGTCTTTAGGAGTGATTATTAAAGCTTTGCACCTTGCAAAAATGGTCCTGGAGTTGGTAGATTGCTGTTGATCCTTTATTAATAATGTTCTATAGGAAAAATATATATATATATATATATATCTTAGTCCCTGACTCTCAAGAGCCACAAATGCATGGGTGTTGTATAGATCCAGTTGCACTAAATTCCTCTCTGAATCTTGGCTGCTGGAGCCATTCATTCAGCAGTCTTGTCTAAGTGGTTTATGAATTGTTTCCTTATTTGCACTTCTTTCTACACAACACAGGCTGTTTGTTTTATAGTGTCTGATAATCTTGTTTGTCTATCCCCACCACCTCTCCTCATAACCTTTATATTTGCCGAATTTGGCCTCCTCAAAGCAGCAGCAAATAGTTAAGTAGTACACCAATTTTTAACCCACAAGATTCCATCTGTGGCATTTGTACCAAATATAAGTTGGATGCATTTATTTTAGACACAAAGCTTTATTTTTCCACATCATGCTTACGAAAATAATGCAAATAATTGCAACTTTGAGGCCAATCATTTTTAGGTATATGTTTTAAACATAGAAAGTCTCTTAAACTCTAAATGATTCCCTCGAATAATGACTTAACGTGCAACCTGATTAGTAACTTTTCTCTTTTTATTTTTTCCATATAGAGCACTATGTAAATTTAGCATATCAATAATACAGGATATATCAAACAGTATGTAAAACTCTGTTTTTTAGTATAATGGTGCTATTTTGTAGTTTGTTATATGAAAGAGTCTGGCCAAAACGGTAAAAGGTGAAAGCAAAACAAAAGAAAGTCTGGAGCCAAAGACGAGACAAAACAGAAGAGTACTAAAAAATCCATCTATTGGGGAAAGAAGGTAGAGTCCCCCCAATTATACCTTCTAAGAGGAACTTGAGACACAAAAGTCCACTGATTCAAATTTGATTGGCGAGTCCAGAGAGGAAGCCACGGAATGGGAAGAGCAGAAGGCTAGGAATTTTAACAGTCCTGGTTTCTTTTTTTCACTGAAGGAACAAACATCTGCCAGCTCTGCCATGGACTCACCACTGTGTGACCTTGGGCAAGTCACTTCACCTCTCTGTGCCTCAGTTTCCTCATCTGCAAAATGGGGGCAATATATCATCTGCCTACCTCAAAGGGGTGGTATGAGGATTAAAAAGACAAAGCTTCAGATTTTTTACCCTGGGTTGCTATAAGGGTACAACATCAGAGCCCTTGCATTGCTGGGATGGAATTCTATAAACAACCCATTCACAGCATAACTACAGATTGGTTAAACAAATGTTCCTGACATCTGAATTCTTGTCAGTGAAGATATCCAATTAAAATGTCCAACTAACTAGTTGTTAAAAGCTCAATCTCTTTTAAATCACTTTTCAAAATAAGTTAGAAATATTTGGTTTACAATTTAATTTTAAATTCTGCATTTGGATTTATGAATATAAAGACAAATGAAAAAGAAAGGAAAAGAAAAAATGGGAAAAACAAAAAGATTGCTCTATGAGTGAAAGGGGAATTAATTATTCCATTTGTTAGCACTCACTGACTCTTCCAGGCAGTTTGCTATCTATCTAATAATACTTCTTTTAATATTATAAATGATACTCTATTCATTATGAAAAATACATTCATTCTGTCTTTCTAGGAAATATAAGAAAAATGATTCAAGATTTTAAATATTGAAATAATATCTCATAAAAAGTCATAAAGTTACTTTCTTTAAGGAACTTTATTCTTATTCTTAACTGTACATAAATATACATATTTCTTTTATTTTTGCTAAAATATGCTTGAATAGAGTTGCTAATTGAGTGGCAAAAATTTCCTTCACAACTAGAAATTTCCCCCATATCTCCTTGGAAGGGTAGTGCATAGCTCTCTATAGATGTGTCTTATCCATTCAACTGAAAATTGGTATCAAGAAAATCCAAGGGTGAGGACAGGCCCATTGTAGCCTAGAAAATGGTCTCTGTATGTGGATCAAGATTTTATTAGAACAATGAATCATCCAGCATTCAGATGTTTTTATCCATCTTAGAATTTTATGATAAAAAGTACCCCAACTTGATTATTTCATGCAAATTTTATTCTTTATATTCTTGGAAAGTGTATATGAAGAACAAAAATAATATCTTCCGTTTTCTACCCATTGGATCACCTCAAGGTTCAGAGGCTAGAAGATAAAACAAACAAAAAGACTTTTGGATTTTTGAATGTATACAAAAAGAAGGCCCTATTTAGTGGAGCACTCCTGTTCAGTCAATAAGCATTTAAACTCTCAGTCCAGAGTTATTTGGATTTAGCACCTAGAGTCACCTGAGCAGTGTTCTTATCACTGGGGACAGATGAAAAAGAAACTACATGGCATTTTTGCCCTCTGCCTGTTTTCCAGACACATGGGTCCTGTGAAATGATATACTGGATCCCTCTTCCCAAAATGGCACTTCTGATTTTTATTTTTTGTTCCCAGTATCTATCTTTTAAAATGACTGACACTCAGAAAAACTTTATAGGCAGTCTCCTGCAGACTTATAGGTATTCTGACACAGTTGGACATGGTAATTCAAAGAGTGCCTATGATTTATTTTATTCATTTAATCCTATTCATACTCAAAAACCTCCCAATAAGGAAAGCTTAAATATGCGATGCCATGTTATCTTTTTAAACTTTTTCCAACACACAATGCTAAATCCTTTACAACTGGTTATAAATCAACTAATTAAAAATGACTAATTATACTAACCCACTATTCTATTTTTAAATGATTTAAAGCCAGAAGACAAATTGATAACTCTGAAAATCAGTTGATGGTTATATATTACAGCAGAATGATCCAAGATTGATAGAGCACCTAAAGTTTCACAGCTCAAACTGTATAGCCTTTGCTTTAGAATTATATTGCTTTAGAATTATAAAATGAAACAATTTCAAGATGTTTAGAAAAGAACTGTAAATATTGGTAAAAATGAGCTTTCAACGTATAAGCTTATATTCAATTTAATTGACAATACCCAATAACTAGTCAAATTTTTGTTCCCACTTTCCCAAATAGAATAAAATATTATTTGAACATTTTAAGTTGAAGAGGCTCCACTGAAAAGGTTAATGCATCTCTTCATTGGAATCCACTCTTCTAGGGATAAGAAAATCTCTCTCTCTTTCACACACACACACATACACACACACACATACACACACATATACACATTCACACTCATCCTAAGAATCCAGTGGAATACTGAGAAGAAATCACTTCCTTGAAAATATTAAAAATAAAAAACAAAAATGCCTGGCCTCCCTTGGGAATTCTTCCCCTTCCTGGAATGTCAATGTTTATATAGATGAAACCGTCTCATGTACTGTGGCTCCAGGGTTTCTGTTACTAGTTTATACTCTTGGGAGAAGGCTTAGAATGAAAGATGTAGCAATTTTGCTTTCCCATTTATTGTTTGGCCAGCTATGCCAATGTGGTGCTATTGTTTCTTTAAGAAAGTACTTGACTAAAAAAAGAAAAAAAGAAAAAAAAGAAAGTATAGACATATTTTTTTAAAGTATGAAAACAACAATTCTATAGATAGATGGCTTAATAAAATAGCATTAGGTCTAGCCACCACCACCTTTCAACTTTTTATCACTCACAAGTAGCATACTGTTCGCCAAATTGTGAATTTGGGGGTGCAGGGGCAGGAGATGGAAATTCTTAAAAGTTAGAAGGCTCTGGTATTTTGCTGGCTCTCAAACTTAGCAAAATTAGTATTATCCAATCTGAACACCTTGATCAAGAGCATGGAATATAAATGGAAAAAGAAAAAGACCTTATAGGAAAATGGCAGAACTAAAAAGATGAGTAAGTTACTTATTGATTTTTGTGCTCTCTGCTGTAGAACAGATATTCAGCAAGGGGAGAAAATAAAAACAAAAAGAGAAAAAATATATATATTTACATCATAAAAATCGCTTCTGCCACATTCCCCTTGGATATTTTTTTGGCATTTACTGGTTTGTAGAAGATATTCTCCCTTCACCCAAACATCTCAAAGAGCAGTAGCTCTTATAAAAAGCAATCGCTGATCTCACTGGGAAATGTTGGGAACTATTTCCTTATGAGATGAGGGTTATCTACTGATAAAGAAAAGAATTTATGAGAAATTGTTGAAAGAGATGGCTAACAATCTGTGAAGATTTTTTATTCGCTGTTTTTGTTATGTTCTTGGTTTTTTTTTTTTCTTTACACAGTCTTAATGAACATCTTAATGTTCAAAAATATGACTTGGTCCTTTTCTTCTTTTTTTATATTGGAATGAGGAATGATTAAGTTAAACCCACATAGACTCTTTAAAACTATAGGCTAGATAGAATTGTATGTTTTACTTGTTGAAGCTATAATCAGACTATTTTAAATGGTTTGCTATTTTTAATCTTAAAAGATTGTACTAATTTATTAGAGCAGAACCTATTTGGCTCTCCTCATAAAAAAGAACATTCCCATTCAAATCATGTGGGGTTTCCATCAATGTTTTCAAAATATAAATCTAATTCGAGTTATGGCATCATTTATTATAAAATAGAAAAATTGTGAGTCTTTATGCCCCTCCCGCAAAGATCAGAAAGTCCCAAATCTGAGGGACAACAATGAAAGGAAAATGTTGTTGATTCTCTGTTTTTGTTTTTTATTTTTTTCAATGCTAGTGTTTAATCTTGTAGTACATATTTGCTTATTGCTATTTTAATATTCTATAAGACTTTCCTGTTAGGTGTTAGAAACTGATACATAAATATAATTTTTGTGTAATTTCTATTTTAAAAAAGGAAGACAAGAAAACTGAAACTTTAGGTGCATAAGGTACAGGATAAAGATATCGATTTAAACAACCAAGCCCTATCTGGAACAGTGCTTTTGTTTCTGAAGGAAACCTCTCACAGATAAGACAGAGGCCCAGAGGATTTGCGAAATTGTCTTTATTCCTTCCAGTCCTTATTATTTTAGTATTTGCCTCAGAATTTTATAGAGGGCTAACCAAGCTGAAACACTAGAATTAAAAGAACCTCTTTAAAAACATACATTTGCCATATTCCCTCTTAATGTATGATTACATTGATCTTAAACATGGTCCTTCTCTCTCCCCATTTTTCAATTGTGATTGATACAGTCTTTCAAGAAAAAAAAAAAACACCTTTTTTTGTTGAAAACAAAAAAAAAAGAGAGAGAGAACACAAAAGTCCAAATGTTACTGCCCATCTGAAATATGAGCTAAAATAGAAATAGAGTTCTCCCACTTAATAACTCCGGCTGAATCACCTGTCACTTTCAAAATGACCTTTCACAATCCTTCGAATCTGCCTTTTTTTTAATTGCCCAGGCTTAAAAGTAAACATTACTCATCTTCTTTTGCCCAAAATGCACTGATGCAAGGTAGGAAAAATGAAAACAGAATTCTAAAATCCCTTTCAAGCCACCATTGACCCCTCTTACTGACTCATAGCAAAGTTACTCCTGTTAATCCCTTAATCTGATTTTGTTTGGATATTTATCTTGTACCTGCTGCTAAACACCCTGCAGGAGGGACTCTGAAACCTCAAATTATCTACTCATATCCCTTATCTGTGTCTGTGTATCATTAAAATGTCTATTCAGAATATCAAAAACTTTTAAACATCATGCAGCTTATATTCAGTTTACATAAAGACCCCAAATATCATGTCAGATCTCCTTTTGCTAAGAGAGTTAATGAACTATAAGAATTGGGATTACATCATGTATTTTGCCTCATGTATTTTTATCACACTTATAGGCCAAGTGTGATAAGCAAACTTATAGACACTGAATTAATTTTCCCTGCTATTTTGAAACCAGAGAATAATGATTGGTCATTCATTATATCTGTCTTAGTTGAAAAGCATATTTTTATTAAATTAATTCTAATTGTATTTGAAATTATTATTCAATTCACTTATGGCAGAGGAATATCAATCCTAATGACTTCTAAAAATGTAACTAACTGAATCATTATCTTACATTTACTGTTTAATAAGCATATTTTGAAAATGTATGGCTAGAGTGTCATAATAAAATGGTATATCTTTCTTTAGTAATTACATTAAAATTAATCATGTTTGATTAATTAGTTTTTTTGGATAATGTTGGTGTAATGTGTCATTTCTTAAGAATTCTACTATTATATAGCATTTTTATTAAGGTCATTGCAACAAATAAACATGAAAACATACTTGGAAAAATAAAACTAATCATATATCAAAATGGAGCTATCTTATAGAATTTACAGATATTTAAAAATAAATGTTTCAACTGACTTCCGCAAACCATGTAAGAGATCTATGCATTATACAATATATACATTACAATAAAGGAGGTTAAAGTAACTGACCCTACTTACTGTAAGGCAACACTGAGTTCCATGATACAAAGTGTTTGTTTGGGAAAAATTTTTCTTGCCAAAAAATACAAACATATCATATAGGGCACATAATATATAAATGGCATTTAATATACTTCCATATCAAGAGATTTTATAAGAATGTGATCTCTCAGCATTCAGTTTTTGTCCCAACAAATCTTTCTAATACTTTTACTGAATAGATACTTTGAATATCAAACTCACAACAGCATTTGTAGAAGTACAAGGCATAAAGATTAGTAATTTCCCTCTTGTTTAAAACTATCTCATTCCATTTTCCTTTTTTGTTCTTAATCTACCATTAACTATTTGGAAAGTTACCCATATATAAAAAAAGGCTCGCAAGTTTTATACGTGACGTTAAGAAAATAATACTATAGTTTCCTTTCATGTTTTCCTGCATGCCGTTGGTAGCCTAGCTCACCTTCACTCCCAAACTTGCTCCCTTGAAATTTCCATGGATCTCCCTGGGACTAACATTCTCCAGATCCCCTCTTCCTCTGAATTTCCTGTTCACACTCAGCATTTTCCATCCTGTGGCCATGGTATTCATGATTTTCTGTATTACTTTCTTTTTCCCCTCTCCACCCAGAACAATGCCCTTCTCCTTTCATTCATACTAGGCTAATCTAGCTACACCCTTTCACTAAAAAGCTTGTAGATAATTAAGTTGGAGGCAATTAAGCACAGGGCAGAAAAAGGCTTCCAGTGCAATGTCAAACATCACTATTACCACAAAGTCATCAAGGAATCTCTGGCTGCTCATGCACCTCTTCTTGTCTTAGTAAGGTCCCTTCCTCTCTTCTACAAACTCTCCCAGGAACTACTTTCTATCCAATTCTTCATCCCCTTCCTTAGAAAGAATTTGCAAGAAAATTCTGGTATGTTCTTATGCAAAGCAATCTACCTCCTTCATAGCTCTTCCATGGTGGGGATGGGGGCAGGGCTGGCCCACCTTTTATTACTGAATGTGTCCAAAAGGTGTTTTTTTCTAAACAAAGAGCAATTCTATCCCTAGGAGGAATTCTATCTTCCTTCAAAGTCATCTACATCAAATTACAGCCCCTTTTAAAAATAGTATTTTTTTTCTTCCTATAGGATCTTTACTATTGATAATTATCACCACTCTGACAATAACGACAGTGAGTATTTGCTGGCACTTACTGTGGATCAGTCATTATGCCAAGTGGTTTAACTATATTATCTCATTCCTTCTTATAAAAATCCTATGCATCAGGCACTATTATGAACACTATTTTTCAGATGAGGAAATGGAGGCTCAAAGACATTATATAACTTACTGAAGGTCACAGACAGGCAGAGTAGGCTTGAATCTATGCTTTTACTACTTCACTATTCCTGACATAAGGACAGCTCAGAATACTGACTGATACCTTTTCATTCAAATTTGGTTTTACATGCTACAGGCAGAGAGATAGCTAATTGCACCTTTGAGTGATGAACTATTTTTTATTATATTATCAAGATAAATAAGCATTTCTGCACAGCAACCAATGTATGTAACTGCACAGCAACCAACATATCTAATGTATTGTTACCCACTGCCATTCCTCTACTCATTCACCTTCACATTGGAATGCCAGTTCTGGATAGTGCTTCCCATTGTGTATGTAACATCCAAGGGTGCACCAATCCCAGGATACCTCAGTAAAGAAGGTTATGTCTTAGACCTTATATAGTCTAAGAATAAACCATTTCCATATAAGTGAAACTGGAAGCTGATCATAAAGAATCTTACCAAGAGCTCTGGCAGCAATCCACCTATTTTTCCCTTGACAGCTTATCAAAGTCAGCTTGGTTTCAAGGGACATGGTTGAATCAGGGCTTCCAGAGGAAAAAATATGGATTCATGGCCTGGAATTTCACGAGACCCAAATTCCTATTTCCCTGCCCTTCAGAATGGGCACAGTCAGCCCACACTAGGGGTTCCCATTGGTTACAGTTCTGGTCCTAGGTGGCATTTTGGAAACACATGGGGACCCTTGGGGTTGTTGCAAGGATTGGGGAAAGTGTTTCTGGCATTTACTGGGCAGGAGCCAGGGCTTCAGACATTTCATGCAAGCGATAACCCTGTTTATAATCACTTAGGTCTAGAATAAAATTTATTTATATAAAAGTATTTTTATTACCTCATATTATGGGGGTACAAATATTGTTAGGGTTACATGTCTTGCCCCTGCCCCCCCCTACTTAAAGTATTTTTGCATGATTTTATATAAACTGAATATTTTTAGGAATGCAATTACCATGTAAACTAAGGGAAGGTTATACTTTCTTTTATTTAGAACTTTACCAGGTGTTATCCACTGATTTAGAATATTTCATCAGTGGCAATGCTAATTGTGCTACTTAAATCTCTCTGCTCTGCACCTGTATTAGTTTGCACATGCAGCTGTCACATTTGTGATTCTCCACATAGGTGTAAACATCTGACCAGTTCATTATGTTTTCCAGTAAAGTTGTGCCTGAGCATTCTATCTTGTAATGTATATTATGTTATTATAAACTTTCTTCCATTTATTTCTCCTATATATTACACTTTAGGCATCATTTTGATTTTTGTTGAAATTGTATATGTTGATAGTATCGATGAATTTCACTTGGGGACATTAATGGGTATATCATAAGATATTCATTATAAAAAGGGGAACTTTGAGTCTGATAGGGTTGAACTACTAGACTATGTACATCAATCATGACCCTCCTTGGGTCATAATGGCACATGAATGGCAGAGCCTTTGCCCCTTCTCAGTAAGTCATCCTAAGGGCAAAGCTGAGCAGAAACCTTATTTCTTCCTCACCTGTTTGTGAATGAAGATTAATCCTCTTTGGGATCCCATAAAAGATAATGGTTATGGTTAATATAACAGCTGGTTTCTAACTGTTCTTTTCTTCACCCTGTGATGGGATGAGATGATTTGGGGAAAAAAAAAAACAATCACTAAAAACAGAAACAGATGTAAATTGGATTTGAGACAATTGCAACAGAACATCAGAAGTAAAATTTGACCTTGGACTTCAAGTAAGGTAGGAAATGTGGCTTGGCAGGGAAGTTTCTCTTTTAAGTTAAAGAGAAGAGTGTTAAAGATCGAGTAACTGTCCTAACTCTACTTATTTAACTCGGTAGCTCCTGCTTAGCCCCCAAAGGGGCTTCACAGGGGACAATAAGGAGGGCCTTTTACTCCAAATAGAAATGTAGGGGGTCATAGGCTCTATTCATGGCAACTTCTCTATATAAGTGCTGTCACTGAACCTATCATTCCACCCCATACATTTGGAACTGTCTTTCCCAACCTCAAATTTCTAAAAGGTAAAAGAGAGATTGGGAGAGGATAATCGAAAGGGAAGAAGATAACAGTAAGAGAGGAAGAAGTATTATCTAGGATTTTTCTCCCCCATTTTATTTGATCCAGAGCTTCTAATTCAGCTACCCTTATATGACCTAAAATACTCAAAGCTAAGCCTATCCTTGAACCAAATCTCTCCTTATCCTTCTGCCTCTCTCTGCTTTACAGGTTAATTGGAAATAGAGACATTCCCATCCCTCCCCTATCTCCCATTCCCATTCTCTTAGACTGTTAATATTGAAAAATCTTTTCTTGTATATTTAAACTTCATTGCTAGAGTAAAATATACAATGAAATAATTTAATACAAATTTATGCTAGAATGTGCTTGTTGTTTACCTGTTTGCTCCCATCTCCATTTCCCAACATTCCCTTGATCTCAATTTCACAAAGGACTACATTTCTCAGCACCTATGCTCTCTGAGTTCTGGGTAAATTTAGCCAATAGAAGTCACTAGCAAAAGACAGGGGGTAGTAGGAAGAAGCCCGGGTATTTTTCCCCATTTCTCTCTGCTTCAAACAAGATCTTCAGCAATAGCTGAAGCTCTTCCCTCCATGGTCCCTGCCTTCCAGTACAAGCAGAACCCTGTCACCTCAATGGACCTAGCTCCATCCAGATGGTTTTTCTAGCTTCTGTCCGTGTCTCTAGTCCTAAGGTTGGGGGTGACTTCCTAATGTTGTTAATCTGTGGGTTGATCCGCCTCCCTTATTTAACTCCTCATCACTTTCATCATCTGCATTAAATCCTCTCTGTTTAAAATACCTAGAATGGTTTCTGTGCTCCTCACCGGATCCTAACTAATACAAACAGGAATAACATAGTGTGGTAAGAGACATGAGTGCTGAAATCAAGCAGATGTGCATTGCGTTGTGGCTCTGATGCTTCTGTGGGACTTGGTTTCCTCTAATAAAATAACACTAATATCTTCCTCATATTAGTCTTGAAGATTAAACATTTTCATATGATAATTTCTAAACTTTTAGATTTCTCAAAATAGGGAATTTCTAAAAATAAAAGGAGATATTGGGAGAAATTGACATAGGGTAGCAAAATCTTTTTGCCTAAAACAAGAACATTAAAAAATAACTACCTATCATTACCATTGTGTCATGAAAAAGGAATTAATTTTTTTAAGAAACATAATTTAAATATAATCTAAGAATAAAGGGCAGTTCCTTAAATTAAATAAATTAAGCTTTATTTCCATAAAACTCATCATATAATCTTTATTTTTTTTTCATCTTTTAAATTTTTCCACTGCTAGGTGAAACCACTGGAATAGTCCAGCACTAGCCTGCTCATCAGCTCTTGTTTTGTGCAGTTTCTGGCATTCTTACTATTACTTATATTATCACTATTTCTGTCAGTATTATTAAGAATGAAAGTACTAATTAAGGATCTAAGATACTCACGGTAGAATTCTTTCCATTGGCTTTGTCACACCCTTTTCTATATATACTCTGACTCATGGCCCTAACGTCTTTGACACTGACAAAGTGACCCCTAATTTGATTTTGACTTGGAAAAATCAGGTGAAAAGTATGGATGCGAATCCTTGCACCACAAAGCAGATGTAAAGTTTCAAGTCTAGCATTTTCTTGCTGTGTCATTATAATTCTTTCCCTTTCTTTATTCCAGCCCAGCCCAGCCCAGCCAGCAGAGATACAACCTTTTCATATAATGACTTTTAACTTATTTGATATTTTCAGCCTGTTCCTATATAATACCAAAATAATTAGTCATCAATGTAATCAATTCAAAGGAACAGTGCAAATAAGTCAGTTGTTTGTCATTCTACACAAACCAAACATCCATAATTTTTCAACCAGTTTTACTGGATTCATCAACATATAATTTTAGTTATTCTGCCTGTTACTTTTAGTCATATTTCACAGCATATTCTTCTAAGACATTACTATTATTCTTAGCAATCTATTAAGTAGTATTTGATGGTCTAGTCTCTTACTCTTAAGCCTTTTAACTTTTTCCTAATGTCAAATAATAGAAATATCCCTGTTGCGGCAAACTCCAATTCCCTAAAAGAAAAGTGAACCTATTTTCAAGTCCTTCTTAAGCCACAGGGATTTATTCTGAATCTTTCAGTATGTGTGTAGCATTATTACAAATCATCTTCATGGTCACTCTTGTAGGACCCAGGGTGTATCAGTAAACTGAAAAAGCAATTTGAGAATCTCTAGCATTGATTTTCAAAAATGCAGTATCCACAGAAACAGACTTTAGATGCTACCCCAGCAAGTGCTGGTAACTCTGTACTTGTGAGGAATATGCCATTTGTGGGTTTGTCTAAGGGTTGTTCTGTGGATATCGCCATTCTTTTTAAAAACACTACACATTCTATGCCATATCCTTCTATGACCACTTCACAAGAATTCTGTGTCAACTTGTCTTTCCCAGTAAGAGTATGTAGCAAGCTAAAGCAGTTGGATAAGAAAAATGTGTCAGTGAAAGATTTGCTTAGAGAGTTTTTTGGGCACATTCATGCTCTCCAAGGTCTATTTGGACAACATTAGAGAGCTACTTCTCAAAGTCAAACTGATAGTACTCCAACCCTTACAAGTAGACACTTGCACCAAAGAACCACATACTCCTGTATCATCACACTGCCCTTTACTGGAAAAGTAAATGAATATAAGGCAGATGTGAGCAGACATGAACATGATAGTTCGATGTGTATTTATTTATGGTGTTGTCTCTAAAAATGTGATCTTTGCCCCAAGAGCTGAGAGAGGAAGGCAGACAAAGATTCCTGAATAAGCAACCCAGATAAACCCACTTGGAGCTGTTCTTCCAGTAGTTTAAATGAATTGGATACACAACTGCTCACACTTTCTCACTGGGCCCCCTTGGGACTAATGCTGCATAGTTTTGAGACAAGTAGACAGGATTAGGGGTGAAGTCTATGAACCATGGAATGCAATTTTCCTCTCCATGAAACTAACTGGCCCTTCTGGGGATCAAACCCATGACCTTGGGCTCATTAGCACTCCACTCCAACTATGCCCAAAACAAATACAGGTTTGAAGCCAGAGGAGCTTCAAACCACACATAAAAATGTAATCAACAGAGCCACAGGGAAACACATAAAGTAAACACTTTCTATATAGGCAAAAAGAACAGAAGATTTGGAAAGAGCTCACATTCTCTGAATCCCTTAGTCATCTGAAGGCTTACTGGAAATTTCCACGTGGATATCATCCAAAACTTTGACTTCAACCCATTTTCGTCTCTTAGTCTCCACCTCTAAAGTCAATTTACTATTGGAACTTTCAGTCTATGGCATCGTAATTCGGTCAACCAAATTCTGAACCTTGAAGTTGTCCTTAGCAACACATTCAACCATCCATTGCATATTTAGTCCAGAACAAAACCCACTGAGGTTATTATTCAAACATCCCTCATATCTCTCCTCTGCCTATCCCCAAAGGCATCACCTTATTCCAATCCTTATTGCCTTCTGGACAGTTGCAATAACTGCCTACCAGCTCTTCTCTCTTAATCCATTTTATATATCATCCTTAAAATTCTGCTCAGCATATCTTATCTAAAACTTCAGTGGTTCCCATCCCATCTTGATATCTTACTTTTTCCCAATATCTATTACAACTAAACTATTCAGGAGGAGGCAGGGCAAGACAGCTGAAGAGAAAACTCCAGCGATAGTCCCTCTGCATGAACACCAAATTCAAGAACTATCTATACAAAAAAAGCACCTTAAGAACCAAAAATCAGGCAGTAAAGCTCAGGGAGAATCTTCTTCCACTTAAGCAAAGAAAAGGGAAGAATTCAGAGGACTTTGTTTTGCAACTTGGGTACCAGCTCAGCCATAGTAAAATAAAACAAACTCCTAAAGCCCCTGAGTCCAGGCTTCCTAGAAAGAGTTTCTGGACCTGCCCTGGGCCAGAAGGAAACATGCTGCCCTGAAGGGAAGGACCCAGTCCTGGCAGGATTCACCACCTGCTGACTAAAGAGCCCTTAGGCTTAGAATAAACATCAGAGGTAGCCAGGCAGCAGTCATCATAGGCCTCGGGTGAGACTGGACTGCCTTCAGGTGTGATGGGGGGGCTGGTGGCCACAAGGGAGTGCCCATGTCACTCCTCCCCCAATTCCAACAGCCCAGCACAAAGAGTGAGAGAAGAGAGTGAGAGACTTGCCTGGTAATCCAGGAAATTCTCCAGTATCTTACCCAAGTCCACCAAGGCAGTACCACCAGGAGTCTGCAAGAGTCACAACATTACTGGGCTTGGGGACCCCCGTCCTAGTGCAGCTGCAGTGATAAGTTAGATCACAACACTCAATTCCCTTTGAATATCTGGAAAGCCTTCTTAAGAAGGATGTGTTCGAATAAGCCCAAATGCAAAGACTGAAATAAATTATCTAACTCCTTCATGTCCAGACATCAACAAACATTCATAAGCAGCGAGAACATCTAGGAAACATGATCCCACCAACCAAACTAAAGTATCAGTGACCAATCCCAGAGTGATGGAGATATGTGACCTTTCAGACAAAGAATTAAAATAGCTGTCCTGA